CACGGGTCAAATCAAACATTCATATTGAAAGGACGCTCAATGCATGCACTGCGATTAATCGCGCGGGAAGACAGCTGACGCACGCGCTGCGATTAATCGCACGGGAAAACAGCTGACGCATGCGCTGTGCTGGTTGGGATCAGAGAAGAATTGTAGTGTCGAGTTCTTCAAGGTCAGCCTACCTAGAATACAAATTCGTCTCACCATTCTTAGAAGTGCGTGAGGGCAGCCGTCGCGTAAGTTCGTTTTATTGCTGGTACAAATGGTGTAAACCGGATAATCGATTTAATAAATTTTGGGGGGAGTTTTAAAATTAAGTTCGAATGCCAAAACATGCTCATCACCCCTCTACCACCCAAAACATGCCCACCGCCCCCCTCCCCCCCAAAACAAGTTCACCGCCCCTCAGCATCCTCCCACCGCCCCCTGGGGGGCGGTACCACCCCCGTTGAGAACCAATGCCGTAGATAAATGCCGTAGATCTTGCCAAAGTTGCTAAATAGAGAAAGAAGTTTCTGTGTTATCTAAAGTTATCCTTCCCTTTCATTTTTTATCTCAGCTAGGGGACTGTTAAAATGGCTGACAACCCAGTTCACGTTCACTGCACAGTTTTTTATAGAAGAATGCAGAAATTTAAGGGTTAGTTGCTCTCATATAATATTGTCAGCCCTCAGAGGTAGGTCAGGTCAAGAAAAAGAATCAGCAGAGATTCCTGGAATGCTCCTTTATTATTGTAGGGTATAATAACAGAATCTTGAAAGCCTGTCAAGAGTTCCTCTCTACCACTTCTTATACCAAACAAAATCAAGGCAGGGATATTTTGAATTTATTTCTCACACTGTCCTCTTTACAGAAATGAGTAATCTTTTCTTCTCCCTTAATCCTCCCTTCCGAAGGCCAGATTTTCTAAAGTCTTTCACAAATATAGAATATTCATCAATTGTTAAATAAAGTCATGGACAGCTTTTGCATCACTTTCCAGAGGCAAGATCTGAAAATCCTGCATAGTACCAATTATGGACCAACCTTGTCAGCACTCCTACTTTTTTTTTTAGAACATTCTATTGCATTTTAACTTCTAATATATTTAAGAAGTCCTTGAAAAACTAGATAATATAACTGATTTTACATCTTTAAGGCCAAATAAGCTCAAACACTGCATCCAATATAATCTAATTAATGAAAAAGCTATGTTGGTATTATCGTTCAGTTTTTGACAAAGCTACTGCTGACATTTCAAAAAGGTTTTCTGCAAAGGGTTAATAGCCTTCTTAACCCTAACGGTATTTCAATCATTTCTAAAAGATCTCGTTAAATTAACTGCATTAATGAAAAAGAAAGGAAAACAGAATTTAGGAAAACAAATTGCACAACCTTGGCATTATCTCCTCTTCTGGGTTACCTAGAAACAAAATTCTGGTGACTAATGACATATTTTTGAGTCAGATCTGTTGTCATAGTCTTACATGGAGTTCCCTTCAGGTTACCTTGTCTCTTGGGGTTTAATATTTTGTTGCAGATTGTAATGACATATTTTATGCGTTTCTCGGCCTGTTGGATTGCTGTCAATATTGACTGCTTGCCTTTTGGTTTCCTTCTCCCCCACCCAGCTGTTGGGACCCAGAGGTTGGGCCTTGGAGCCAAACGCCAGTGGCACCAGGAGGCACCCCTCTTTTAAGCTTCAGCTTGTAACAGCTGGTTCATTATTTCACTCCACTGAAAGGCAACACTCATTTTGTTGGCACAAATATCTGTTGTTTTCTCCGATACAGAGCTTGCTAGTGACATGTTTGATCCTTCATATCATGTATATTGGTTATTAAATAGCCAAATAATCTTATTAACCTTTATATTATTACTACTGTTATTATTGTAGCTGCTGAACACACCTGAAAATTGCTGCGGTCTTAAGGAAAGCCAAATACTTTCTCTGCTTAGTGACATCGGTAGGTCAACTGTTCTTTTCCATGATGTTGTGACTTAAAATTTCTTTCCTCCCCAGTCTTTTTATTGTGCCTCAAAGCTCATTGAAAAAACCAACCAGGCTTGAATGCATACTAATAATTATTTGTTTGTTTGTTTGTTTATTTAGACTAGCATGTCTCGACCTTGGCAACTTTCAGATGTGTGGACTTCAACTCCCAGAATTCCCCAGTCAGCTTGCTGGCTGGGGAATTCTGGGAATTGAAGTCCATACATCTGAAAGCTGCCAAGCTTGAGAAACACTGGAGTAGAAAGTTGGGCTGCACTGCCATTTTATTTATTTACTTACCATGGCTTCTCAATGAAAAAAGGTTTTCATTTGCTTTACTGTCAAATGAGAAAACTCTTTTAAAGTTATATAGATAATGGAAAGGAAATGGTTAATTATACTAAAATGGGAAAAAAAGATAATTTCAGTGCTATGTCATTACAATTCAGGAGTTTGTAGAGACAAGGTCTAAGTATCTCTAAACTTTTTTTTTAAGTGTGTGCATTGTTTCATAATTTCTAGGGTCTGGTATCCAGTATTTACATGAAAACAGAATAATTCACAGAGATCTTAAACCAGAAAATATTGTTCTTCAGGATGAAGCTGGGAAGGTAGGTGGAACACTCTGAGTGTTGCAACAGTGGGTTTAGAAGGCTGCTGTCAGTTTTTCTATCAGCTGGTCCAAGAAACGTGCCACAGTAGTGGACCCCTTGAGTTGCAACTCTGCCCTGACCTACTGACCCCCTCCCCATGTGCTGTACAAACCGGTCTTTTCAAGGAGGTACATGAATGGATTTGAGGAAGTGGTTCTGTTGCAGCACCGTTCCTCTTGAGGAATCGGACCCTGCCTTTTGGCTTGGGCCTCCCTCGTCTTCTCCACCAGCAGGTCTTCTCATCTTACTCTTTTGGACCCCAGATTTGGAGCCAAGATTTATACATAGTGAGCAATATACTTTATTTTTCCTTGAGGTTCTTCTTTAGGGTGTCTGTGGATCACGCATACAGTATGGCAGTGTTTCTCAATCTTAGCAACTTTAAGATATGTGGACTTCAACTCGCAGAATTCCCCAGACAGCATGGCTGTCCACATATCTTAAAGTTGAAGTCCACATATCTTAAAGTTGCTAAGGTTGAGAAACACTGCAGTATGGATGATATACGTACCCAGAACCCAGGAGGGGCCACTCTCCTTCTGCCTGCGCTCCTTTCGGTCTATGACGGAAAGAAAGATTTGACTTGGCTGTAATGCTTGGCGTGGGGACTGAGATTTTTATAGGTGCTGAGAAACCAGATATAACCAGGGAGGGAGGGGTGGGGAGAGCTCACAAAAACAAGCATTGATTTATAACAAAAGGAGCAATGCCACTGGGCAAGTAACCTGATTAGAAGAATTCATTTCTTCCAGAAAAGCAAACAAACATTATGTGGAGGGGGTAGGAGAAATGTCATCTGAATTTTAAAGAGGGATCAGTTGAAAAGCAAGTTAAGGAGAGGGGCAATCTCTCTTCCTTCTCACTTACCAACTTTTTGTGGGGGGGGGGTGCCTTCAAGTCAGTATTAACTCCTGGTGACTATACTGTACAGACAAGTCCGTGCAGCTTTTTTGGCAAGATTTTGGAAGTGGTTTGCCCTTGCCTCCTTCTTCCCAGGGCTGAGAGAGAGGGACTGGCCCAAGGTCACCTGGCTGGCTTCATGTTTAAGGCAGGACCAGAACTCACTAGCCTGGTGCCTTTATTGCTACATCAGACAGGCTCTCTCCAGCTTTTATACTGCTTTAAAAATAAAGCATTCTAATGATTAGTGAAATGGAGGGAGGTGGGAGAGAAGTCAGGAAGCCACAGCTCATCACCAAGAAATGTCAAAAAGATAGTAGCCACAAGTGGTTTCTTGCAGTCCTGGTTCTCCAGCATCAGAGCTATGTCTAAAAAGATGTTTCGGCTGTCTGCTCCTTCCTTCCCATCTGGTCTGAGCCAACCAAAGTAGGGGCCTTCCCCGTCTCTCCTGTTGCAGAGGCTCAGCTGGGAAAAAATGGAGGAAAAAATAGTTTTCAGTTTCAAAAACAGTGAAAACATGAAGAAGCTTATGTGAAGAATAACTTAGGTGTGATTTTATTGCCAGATCATTTACAAGATAATAGACCTCGGATATGCCAAGGATCTGGACCAGGGAAGCATCTGCACCTCTTTTGTTGGGACCTTACAGTATTTGGTAAGATTTTAATACACATTGCTGCGTCTTCTGTTCTTAGCTGTGGAGGAAGGCCTCTCTCTATCTCTGACTTTTATTGCAATTTCTGCTGTTTTGTTTAAGGCCCCTGAACTCTTTGATAATAAGCCCTATACAACGACTGTGGACTTTTGGAGCTTTGGGACTGTGATCTTTGAGTGCATTACCGGATTTAGGCCCTTTTTGCATAATCAACAGCCTTTTACCTGGTAAGTTTCTCTGACTAAATGGACAATCAGGACATGGTTTATGTTTTGCATTTGCAAACAAGCTGGTTTTGTTTCTGTACGTCCACAGGCAGCTGCACCCTTTTTAAAAGGCACAGGAACTTTGTGGGGAGGTAGGACAGTCAGCAGGAGGACTCAGCAGGGAAAGAGATTCAGTTTCCCCGTGAAATATTCTTTCTAAGGGAGCTGTAGATCCAGGAAAAGCTATATTAGGGGAATCTCGGGTGCTGGTGTTCAGGAGGTGGTGAGCTCTGCTTACCGAAAGAGGGAGCTCCTTTTAATTCATCACACTGTTCCAATCTAAACGGGGCCACCATGCCAGGGACATACACTTGGAAGGATGAAAATGGCAAGATGGTGACTGCAACTGCACAATGGATGCCCCACCCTTTTTTATGTCCATCACGTGTGCAATTTTTTTTCTTTTTGTGGGGGGGTGCCTTCAAGTCACTCTTGACTCCAGGTGACTGCTTGGATTAGTCCCTGCAATTTTCTTGGCAAGATTTTTGGAAGTGGTTTGCCTTTG